CCCATAAGGTTCAATGTAATTACCATTAATCCGTTCTGGCGTCCGTGGACCATGCGTCAGGGGCGGGAAAACGGCTGGGTGCGGCGTGGCGCGGCGCGAAAATGGCTGGGCGCGGCGTGAAAACGGCTGGGTGCGGTGCGGAAACGGCCGGGCGTGGCGCAGAAACGGCCAGGCGTGGCGCAGCGTGAAAACGGCTGGGCGCGGTGCGGCGGAAAAACGGCCAGGCGGCGGAAAAATGGCCACGGACCACGGACCACGGGTAGGGGCATAAAAATGACCGTACCCCGAGGTGGAGTTTGCACATCGAGGTAAATTTTTGCGGCCGGAGCTGGTCGTAACCCGAAAAGTCCGTTAGTAGAGGCGTTCGTAACCCGAGGTACCACTGTAATATGTATAACAAACCCTCTGTGGATATGCATATCCATTCTGTATCTAAACTATGAAATACATAGTTGATACACTGTATGTATTATTGTTAGTTAGCAAAGAAATTAATCACAGGACTTTTTTTTAGAAGATGAGTTTTAGAAATTCAGTAGTGGCTTAGTCCACCAATAAATGTTGATCCAATCACACACATTTCCTGCAGTGCTTACACTTTGCTTCCCTCCCTCCCTCTCTCTGAAACAACTGCAAATAAAAATGATTTAAAAACATGTGAAGGTGTGTATGATAAATGAGAAAACTGACAGAAAATGCCCGATTCCCCCCCAAAGGCAATGTTTTTTATTATGAGGTGCACAATTGAGGAGGCTTTTACTCAGGGTTCAACTCCCTGATCATTGCCTGTTGACAACCCAGTGAGCAAAAACTCTTTGAAAGTTTTCAGGACCCAAGTTGAGAAAGAGGGAGGGGGAGGGAGAGAGAGAGAGATGGGAACAAAAGCTATTTCTAAATTAGTAAAGGCAACAAATAAAGTGGGGATAGATGTCGTGTATATCTCTGCTAAGAACTGTAAGGTAATACATTGGTCCATAGCTGACCTTTTTTTTTTTTTTTTTTTGACTCCTGGTGACTGCCTGGACTAGTCCCTGCAGTTTTCTTGACAAGGTTTTTCAGAAATAGTTTGCCATTGCCTGCTTCCCAGGGCTGAGAGAGAGTGACTGGCCCAAGATCACCCACCTGGCTTTGTCCCTAAGGCAACTACAACTCACAGACTCCTGGTTTCTAGCCTGGCGCCTGAACCCCTACACCATCTGGCTCTCTGTTGACCTCCCCTCAGTGAAATGCCCTTAAAGTGTCACTTCTTTTTGTCGCAACAGATTAGCATGGCTATCTGTTTGGAAACTCTTAAAAATATGCAGTATGTAAATTCATCTAAAAATATTCCTGGACTATAAAGCTGAAAATATCTTAATGACTTATAATCTAAGAAATTTCAGTTTACATATTTGTTTCTTCCTTTATCAAGCTACTTCCTCTGCTCATCATCTCTATAAACTGTGCCGTAAAACACAGCAAAATAATCCTGAGGAGGAAGTGGCTGTTCCCACCCATCTTCCTGGCTTGTAGATCTAAAAACAGTCATCCACCCATTAAAAATAAAAAATTAAAAAACAAAAACAAAAATAAAAATAAAAAGTGTTTACGGAGTATACCTAACTAACAAAAACCCTGCCAAAAGGATGGTTGCATGGGAGGGCTGTTGTAAAGGATGTCTAAGATTCTTGGGTTGTGTATTTGAACATAGTGTATTCTGTTGAAGTGTAACCAAAACCATGAATCCATGCCCTGGCATTACACGTAGTCCTCACTTAACGACCACTCATTCAGCGACTGTTCAAAGTTATGACAGTACTGAATTAGTGGGACATACGACCGGTCCTCAAAGTTTGGCCATTGCAGTGTTCCCATGGTCACGTGATTGCAATTTGGGTGCTTGTTGATCAGCATGCAGTTACAATGGTCGCAGCACCCCGCGATCATGCGATCACCATTTGTGATCTTCCCTGCAGGATTCTGACAAGCAAAGTCAATGGGGAAGTTGGCAGGAGGTTGCAAATGGAGATCACATGACATCGTGCTTAACGATGCATGGGATTCGCTTAATGATGGCAACTTCCAGAATTGCCATCATAAGTTAGCATTGTCACATGATGTTGTGCTTTATGACTGCATTGTTTAGCAACAGAATTGCCGACCCCAGTTACCATCATTAACCAAGGACTACCTGTAGTATTCCTGTAAACCCAACAGTTCGAAAACTCACGTGAGTAGATAAATGGGTACTCTCACTCTG